CTTCCTCGCACAGCCCCGCTTGAGGGAGCAGGGGGGAAGGGGGACTGCCAGGCAGGACCTGGCATGTGACAACTTCTGGCTTCAGCTACTGAAAACATGGCGGCAGCTCCCCTCCCGGGCAGAACCCCCCCTGCAAGGTTTGACGAACTGTGACAGGTACTATTCCAAAACTCTCGGCTGTCCAACAAGAATGGCTGTCTTCCGGAGTACAGACTCCCCTGGGCCAAGTGGGCCAAACAACGCGTCATTTGTATTGAGGGCATTTCGGACCATACTGCCAGGGTTTCGAAAACAGAGGAACAGCTGCGCTCACCACCTAGCGGACAGCCTGGACCAAATCATTTTCTCAGTCCCGCTGGCTTGGGTAGCCGCTCTAGGAAAGGGCCCTTACCTTCATGAGGCGAATTGGGTGGGCAGTACAGTATGAGGACACACACCCCATAGGCATAGGCAATGTGGTGCAGACCCGGTGTTACATGCTGAAAGCCTACACACGGGCCCATCACGGGACCCGAGGTTGGAATAGGGCCCCCAGGTCGCGTCACCGCAACCTGAAGGCCCTATGACATTTTTACTCGGGCCTGCATCAGAAAAACGCCAGCTTTAGATTACTTTTATAGTCTTTTATTTAATTATTTGCTGCTGTTTTTCTAACGTGTGTACTGTTGTCCGTTTTGTGGCCAGGTACACGTTTTAGGGCCAGGGCCAGATTCAGGCCCAGAGGCTGAGCCTCTAAAAACGTTTGGACCTTTTCTTTTGTTTTCGAACAGATTTTGACCTGTTCGGACCCAGGCCGACGTYGAGGCCRGGTACGTCCGCACAGGACCGGTTTGAAGCCAGGTACCAGGAAGTTGAATCCTGGACAGGGCCTGGATGTCCGGTAGGGACCCAGGCAGGCCGTTTTAGGCCAAGAGCTGAACCACACGTTGGGCCTGCGATCTGAACCGTGGATCTGAACGGTCCAGGTCGAAGGCTGTGGGCTTTCAGTCCTGGCCCAGCGCTACTTAAGCTGGGCCATTGCCCAGTTCGGACAGAAGGTACCAGGGGAAATCCAGCGTTACGCTGGTTCAGGACTTCACTTGCTGCGCTATGAGGAGACTACCGGCTGCGCTATTTTGAGACTGCAGTTGCGCTGTTCATCGGCAATGAGGCACAGCGCTGGAGGAGTCCAG